TCATCATTTGCTGTAATGACTGATTTCCGGTTCAAAATTGAAGAACTCTGACGATCGCGAGTCAGTGGTTTTTGATGAATGTTCAAATACAAAGCTCTTTATAACAAAAAAATATATCATGAGCAGCGCGCTGTAAATGATTTCCCCATTGCAATTGACCTCCGACCATGCAGACCGCCGAAGAGAACCGCAAATCATTCAAACTCACGAAACTGGGCACAAGAGATCAAAACAACTCTTTTCGTTTTGACGATATTGTTATTTTCATATATTAGCCATTTTATTCAGCAGGCGGTCTTCCTTGTGGTATATTCTGATTTCGTTTCGCTGGATAACACCGAAAAACTCCATGGATTCCCCTCTACACTGTTTATATAATTACTGTTGTTTTTTTTTATGAAAACTCTATTCCCATTGCAGCTCCCCAAGGGAATTGTTTGCGGCCTTCGTACTGATCATTTCGGGTTAGGGATAATGTGTGCAAAAATGTTTTCTGAAACAACTGGTATATTGTCGATTGTCTTGCCCCCTTTTTAAGTTACAAAAAAAAAAACACCGGACGTCTTTGTAATTAAACATCGTGGTCAAGTGCCAAAAAGGAAATGAAACCCGGTGAAAAAAGCAGATCGTCATCGCCAATATGGCAGATTGCCATGTTTGTTTAGATGGACAGAGCAGACCTTTGTAATTTCAAAAGATGCCGTTGACAATACTTGCTCGGACGCTGTAAGAAGGCAGGACTAAAATCTTCAGTCAGGAATCATTTCAAAGTGTTTACAAAATCGTGCTTACTATAGGTTTAAAGATATGTCCCAGACAAGCGTGGAAATTCTTGACAACATAGCAAAACTCACAACCACGCTAAAGGATGAAGATGATAGTGATCATGACAGTAATGACCACTACTTAAACAGTTGTGAAAATTGCTTGTGCAGTTGCTGAACTCATGACATCTGCGATAAAAGTGCAGTGCTTCACTAAATGAGCTAACAAGTCAACTGGGAGCTGTTTTTTTTTCGGTTCGTAAAACAACCGTGATTCATTAACCCAAGAGTGATCAGCATCTAATTTCTTCTAACAATATCCCCACTGAATCAAACATTAATGTCATAAGAGTAAAGGAAATGATCACCGGCTAAAGAAGCTCTTGATTGTTAAACAAATTCTCCTTGACAGCAGCTTAGTAAATGTACAGAGAACAGTATGGAGAATATGCATACTGATGTAAAGGGTTAAAAGATTTAGATTCACATTTTCCTTCTTTCGACTTATGAGCGGATGAGTCACAAAACAGCCTCAACTATTTTCTTCTCGAAAAGCTCTTTGCAAGAGCTCCTAAAAGTTGCCTGCGTTAGAGATGTCGAATCAGTTCTTTTTAGTGCTAGCTTTGCAGCATAGAGTCATAGCTCATATACCTATCAGCGAACTTTTTATAAAGACAAAAATGTCTATTAAAATACGTGTGACAATGCTGTGCGTTTCCACGCCCACAATTATTCCTTATGCGCAAGAAGGATACCAGTCATTTGCTTGGCAAACTCAATCTAGCAACACTCCCCCGCATAAATTCCAACATTCATTCCAGAGTTAACGTGTTTGTACTTTTTTTCTCTTCCGCTTTAAATATGTTGAAGCTAAAGCCCTTGTAACGTTGCATTACAGACGGTTTTAAAGGATCATAAAGCGTGTTAAGCATCTTATAATAATTACCTTTTGAGATCGTGAAACCAATCAGGAGTACTAAGAAGGGTATTAAGGCACCCATTCTGCAGATCACAGCCAGTATCCGAGGGATTGGAAGGTATACACGCTTTGAGTTGTTACCTCACTCTGTGATGACTAACAACTAAAAATATGAGACTATGATTCGGCCAAAATCAGCTTGGTAAGGGAAATCCTGAGCGGAAGTGGCTGCAACACTCTGAAAAAGAAATGCAGAATTGCACGAAAAATCTTTCAGCGGGATTTAGTGTTCGTCGGAAATGAGGTTTCCCAAAGAAAACCTCAAAATATCTCAGAACAATATTGCTACCATCAAAGTTAAGATGCTCAAGTCGGTGAACTTGTATTGAATGTGTAGCGATTTGGCAAAGTTCATTATATAGTTTTATTTGCGACTTCCGCTGCTATCGATACCTCCTCAAATAATACTCCGGAAATTGTAATAAACAAACAGCCTGACAAACATCTGGTCGATGAAAGCACCAGGAGTCTTTGTGACGTTTCAACAGGTCATTCCGTGAGAGTTAGCTACGAGCAGTAAGATTAAGACCTTGACAACGGTTGGAAGTTGCGAAAATGGTCGGAATTCAAAATCAACCATTAGCAAGAAAATTTAAGCTTGTGGCTTATGGTCAGTTACTTCAAATCCAAGACAGCTCCAGACCATAACGTCAGCTTGCCTCAGGACTTCATATCAGTAAATCTTAAGTCAAGAGGCCGGAAAGCGCCCAGCTTGCGTCATCGACAAAGCGTAAGAATGGCTTCTTGTTCCAGGCAAAAGCATATTAAAATGTCAACTAATGTGTTTTCATGATCTCTGATTACGAACACACAGTTAATGCGAAGGCTTTTCCAAAATTAATGGGAAGTTAAACTGTTTAAACAGGATCTGATTGGTAATTTTTTCAGACCTTGCACAAAATGATTGAACAAACGAAAAATAGGCAACTTAATGTAAAAAGCTTATGTTATTCACCAGTTATAATTTGGCATAAAGAGATAATTCACTCATGCACTCAACAAGATAATTTGGCTCAATGGAATCTCAGTTCCTTGTGCAATCAGTTTTATTACTACGTAACCCTTTAAATGCAACTGATTTCCTGATGATGCTCATGGCTAGAATCAGATGATTTTATAGACATGGCTGTGATGTGGTATATTCGGACTGATGCGGCTTGTGTCATCGCAGCTTGAAAGAAACCTACTCCCCTTCAAATTTGATTCAGAGACCGCGCTGAACTGAACCAAGCTAAAAATTACAACATTGGTACCCTAACCGTTTGGCGCAAGGCTAGAAATGGGTTAGTTGCTGATTGGCGCTCTCAATGAAAAGGATATTCTTGTACATAGCTTAGGATTTGAGCCATATCAACGCGCGAAAATGCAATCATCATGGAAATTAAGCGATTTCATCTCTGCGGTTTTCCTCGAGGAACTTCGGTTCCTGGATCTGCAACAAATAAATTAAGTTCCCTTATTAAAAAAAATGTCTAGCCAGGTAAAACGCTACAACGTACGCTTAGTCTAATAAAAAAAATAGAAAAAAACATTAACAAATGGATAACGTCTTGCATACGTAAGAAAGGGATGAAATTTTTCCTTTCATGTTGTTGTTATATAAGTGCTCTCGGGAAATAAAGTTCTCCGTAGATTACATCAAATTTGGCGAACACTGCAGTTCAATATTTTTTATGTTGTGTTGATAATAGTGAAAAAATGTTTCGGTTTATTTGAGCCGCGAAAATTTGTTCCCGCAAAGCGCAGAAGTCCATCAATTCACAACACAAAAAAGTTTTTCCATAGATGGACATACAGTGATTCAGTCAGCAGATCAAATAGACCGTCTTGTCAACACAGGCCTCCACAGGCGGCCCAAGCTCCAGCTGTGAGTTAATCATATTGCGAAATAAGAGTTATGCTGAAATTATAAGAGAATGTTTAGGAATATTTTACGAGCGCTCTTAGGATTAAAAAAATACAGTCAAATTCTCAATAAAAATACCTCACCTAACTTCCACACGGCATCACTTGTTATCCGACCGCTTACTATGTTGAAAAGAATCTATTTTAGCGAGTTATCCATTCCTAGATTTACTACTTATAAGAGAAGCCCTACGAAATATGGTCGATTTATAACGATAAACATTTAGAAATATGAACATTTTACGCGTAAGACTTCGTCTTAGAACAGGAATGACAGTGATGGCAAAGCAAGCTTAAAGCGGCAGAGAACGCCGGAAACTACAACGGACATACAAGATGTGCGTAAGATCTGTTGATTTCAGGTGTAAATTGTTTATATTTCGAAATATTTATCGTTCTAAATCGGCTATATTTTGTTCCCCATATTATTTCTTAAAA